TAAAATTATAAAAAGAACCCAAAATGATTGTTGTTTTTTCCTCCTTTCGAATTAAAGCCCTGGGCCCTGTTTCTCGAAATCTTAACTAAAGATAAAATCCAAATTTTAGTAGATACTTCAATTTTGATTGGCTAAGCACTAAAATCAATCTAATATTATCCAATCAAATTACTAAAATTTGGATTTTATCTTAGTTAAAATTTTGTGAAACAGGCCCCTGGGCTTAATTTCAGAAGAAATGTTTCATCACTGACATGGTTAAATTCGAAATTAAGCCCGGGGCTTAAATACGAGAATTCCCAGTAAATCATAAGATGAATACCTTGATGTAATAAAGCTTCCAAAATCAATTTTCATTACGTAAATCTCTATCTAATAGGTTTTCTACTTTCATTATAAGAGAGAATTCAATGAAAGACAATAGGAATATCTGATACGGTCATGCAACGCTTGAATCAAAAATATCGCAAACTATAAACTAAAGAGATGAGGCATGAATAGGCAAAGATTTTAAACCAATGAAATAAATGATATATTAATGATGTAAGCATGCAGAGGGTAATCATCATGTCCTGATGTTTGTCATTAAAAGATGCTAGCTATAATTAATGGCTTCTCTGTTTAAGTACTGGATAACCTGTAGATTTTTGTTTTACGTGTAGTGCGGTCCGCCTGCACTTACTATTAGAGTAGAGTTTTAGCCCTTTGTACTGCAGAATGTTCTCATTGTTGACTTTATAACACTGAGACAACTATCAACAAAATGTCACTTTAAAGTGCATGCGTTTACTTTATAACACTGAGACAACTATCAACAAAATGTCACTTTAATGCCATTTACTTTATAACACTGAGACAACTATCAACAAAATGTCACTAATAAAGCGGACGTTTACTTTATAACATTGAGCAAACTATCAAGAAAATGTCACTTTAAAGCGGACATTTACTTTATAAGGTTGAGCAAACTATCAAGAAAATGTCACTTTAAAGTGCACGTTTACTTTATAACGTTGAGTGAACTATCAACAAAATGTCACTTTAAATTAAAATAGTAATTGTATTTCATATCATGTTTTTTGTGTTGATTAAGTCAACTGGATATTTCCCCGGAAAGCAAATCAAATGTTCTACTTTTCTGCACCAACTGGGCTAATAAATCTACTCTTCATTGATTTCTATTTTTTGTCCAATCCGAAAGACTAGACACTGTTCCAATCGTTTACCCTGTGCTTGATAACGACAAGAAGACACTTGTTGAAACGTTGCACTATTAAAGTTGATAGTGATTGTTATCCATAAAGTTGTGTTTGTGTTTTTTCAATGTTAGTCCTATCACTAAATGCCTTATAAACAATATATTGTTCCTAGTAATTTTTTCACCATTATACATTTTCAGTAGCAGACCTCATATTAACATGAGCAAGGTTTTCACATCTCAATAACTGGATAGTTCCACAAGGAATAAAGTCTGAAGCACCAGTTTATGAACTGTTAATTTGTGATAACACTTATCATTTGGAGAGAGAGAGAGAGAGAGAGAGAGAGAGAGAGAGATGGGGTTTAATATCCACTCAACACAAACTAGGTCATTTCGGGCCTAACATATGGTTTAATTTTATATCAATAATTCTTTAGCAGTGGGAGGAAACCGGAGGACCCAGAGAAAACCCACGAGGTTGGATATTTCATTTGTTATATAAATATACATGTACACTATTCTTACCCAGTTTGGAATCCCTTCCCAGCCTAAAATTCCTCCCCTGGCTAAAATCCCTGTCGTGGTCACTAAGTGCCTTCCGTATGAGACTCATAGTAGTAGGCTCATTCCCTCTCCGCAAACTAAATGCAAAGTAAACAATGGCTACTAGGGGATGTCATTCTCAGTCGTTGTTGTTTGTATTTTAAGGAGATCCGAAAAAAGCTCCCCTTAATCAACAAATTGAAAAATTCGCTCCCCTAAAAAGAGTGAAGAGTGATTTAGAAATTAAGGAGAGTGATCTGATATTAATAAGAGTGATTAGTTGTGTGCATGGGAAATGGTTCTGAAGATCAATAACTGCATGTTAGGGGTCATTCCTGGATTCATAAATGATAATAAACCCCCCATGACTTTGTGAAGGAGAGCGATTTTCAATTTTAAGGAGAGGGAGAAAAACCGCCCCTTGGTCGACATTCAGGTGAGCGGCAGGCGCTTGAAAGCGATCACTTGCCTTAAAAAACAATGACTGCATTGTGAATATTGAATTTTCACTGTGCAGTTCGAAAGCAGATCAATTATCTCCTTGAAGCATATTGAAAGTTGAACTATCGTGTTAAAATCAAATATTATAAGTGAGAATATCGATCAGTTGTATGAACAGTCCGTAGTAATTTATATTATCGTCAACATTGTTATAATTAATATTTTAATCAATACGGACCATTGAACGACACAAAACTGTTAATATCCAAATATCCGTCAGGAAATGAACACCAGGTCTGCCAGACTCGTTTCAGTGCCGACGAACATGTAGACACACCCATTTATATATCGGCTGATCGTATTGATTGCTTTTTTTTTTTCAGATTGATAGGTAACTTTACACGTTCGATTAATTAGTGTAAAAAGTGTAAGCATTGTCAGGACTGTGTTAGAAGAGATACGCTATTATCGTCTAGCAATAAATAACGTTTATAGATTGTACTAAGCATGACAGGTCTGTTTGTAGAGAACTCAATGGTTGATAACACGCTAGCTTTGAATATTCTATATAAAATACAGGTGATTGTATAAAATACAGGTTTATCATAAAGTCTGTCATTGAGTCGAGTGGCGTGGTTTCGAATCCCCGGTTGTACGTGACAAGGTGTAGGTCGCCTGTCCAACCTCGTGGGTTTTCTCTGGGTCCTCCAGTTTCCTCCCACTGCTAAAGACCCCTATGCGCAAGCGAATTGTTGAAATAAAATTAAACCATATGTTAGTCCCGAAATGACCTAGTTTGTGTCGAGTGGACGTTAAACCCCATTTCTCTCTCTCTCTATTACAGAAAATATTTAACCCAATAATCATATCAAATGATAACATGAATTAAAATAAACCCAAAACCACATTAAAAATATTATTTCAACCTAAATTTTCGGCAATTGATTCTAAAACCCCTCAGATTTATTTAAGGTTGTTCAGTACTTATTTCCAAACCAAATTAACTCAACAATCTAAATAAACCTCTACTATAAATAATTCTACTTCTTACTCCAAACGACCTGATTTATTTTTAGAGTCGTTCACAGATTTAATTCAACAATACAATAAACTCCTTTTTGAAATAACCTTAATTAACTTTGATGATTGTTGATCTCCGCCCCAGGCCAGTGGGTGGAGGTAACCATTCTTTTTAGTTTAATACTAATCGCCTCCAGCTGTAGTCAACAACACCCCCTAAGTGTAAAATCTGGCCAAGCCCCTTTTATAATCCTTAAATTACTGTCTATATCTCTATATGATCTCCTCCACTTGATGATAAAGAAAAGGAATTTAACCCCTAATCTTATCTTATCAAATAGTTATATAAATAGTCCACTTATAATCCCTTCTAAAAGTATCTTTTATCTTTACTTATAATCCAACACAATGAGATCGAACCCTGTTATTGTTCTTAACACTCAACCTACTTTCAACTATTGAAACCCTATCTTTTATTATAGACCAACCAACCTATTATGAAGACCTGTTAACTAAACGTCAATATCTTTAATTAATTTACTGCTTGACTTATATATAGTTGTTAATATGTTTCAAATATAATCAAGTCTGTTTTTTCCTCCATTTATTAACAATTTACACACAGGTACGCTGATGAGGCCTGGCTATCATCATTTATAAACAATTTACACATAGGTTCATGCTAATTTATATGATTATCTAATTAACCTGGTAGAGAGAGAGAGAGAGAGAGAGAGAGAGAGAGAGGGGTTTATAAGGTCCACTTGACACAAACTAGGCCATTTTGGGAGATTTTTGCTTTGGGTGTAGTGCGGTCCACCTGCACTTACTATTAGAAATTGTTTCAATGGCATTTATTAATTAAACTGGAATACACAGGTGACAATTCTATGGAATATTCTATAAAAACTGACTAAATCCTGTCTATATTTATGGCCATCTATATTTAAACTTATTACTACAACACAAAAGGCACTCACTTGCCATGCATACAATTCACAATCTATGAATGCCTTCGACATGGTTATATCTTTAAAATTAACACCTCACAGCAAAAATAAAACATGATATACCTTGCTGTAAGTTACTTTTTCAATATACATGTATGTAACTTATTGCAATATACATGTTAAGTATTGTTCGCTTAAAAATTCCAGACTGATATCCCCTTGTAAAGTCATGTTCATATTCTTAAAATTTAAAATCAACACCTCAAGGTAAAAATAAAATATGACATACCTTGCTGTAAGTTACTTCTTCAATATGTTACTTATTGCAATATACGTTATATATTGTTCCCGGCTGTTATATCCCCTTGTAAAGTTATAGAGTCACCACCGTCAGTGATAACAGCACACAGGTCAATCAACATATATGTGATAATTCTAGGAACTTCTTTACATACACACCTATCTACTTCCAATACTCATTTACAATACAACAGTAACGTTAAACAACAACAGGGTCGACACCCCGATCATGTAGCACAGAAATACCTGTAATGACTCTGTTGACAATGAAATCTATACCATCCATTTACCCAAGCTACTGACATTTGCTGTGTTGTAGTGTAGAGAGAGAGGGGTCGTCTCACAATAACTATAAGATTTAGTTGAAACGCTTCACTGGTTTTCTACACATGGAGTTAAGATTGGTGTCTCCTTGATTGTTCATTACTAGAAGCAATCAGCTTATTGTTTGACAGTCTTATTGTGTCAGGTCTGTTGATTGCTTAATGACTAATTAATTAATTAAGTAGATAAATATGTAGGTAGTAAGTAATAACTTTATTTACCTGCATTTGTTCATTTTTCAAAGTCAGTCAAATTTTCTTCTATCCAAGTCTGAAGTGGTAATCTGTAAAAAAAACAAAAAAATAAATTATTAAAAATTAAAGCAAACAAAATAATATGAAAACAAATTAAAGAGTTTTCATGGTACAAAATATTCTAGAGACAGAGGATTCTCCTACAAATATTCTAGAGACCAGTGAATCTCCTACAAATATTCTAGAAACCAGGGGAATCTCCTACAAATATTCTAGAAACTAGGGAATTTCCTACAAATATTCTAGAGATCAGGGGAATCTCCTACAAATATTCTATAGATCAGGGGAATCTCCTACAAATATTCTAGAGATCTAGGAATCTCTTACAAATATTCTTGAGACAGGGGATTCTCCTAGAAGTATTCTAGAGACCAAGGGAAATCTCCAACAAATATTCTAGAAACCAGGGGAATCTCCTACAAATATTCTAGAGACCAGGGAATCTCCTACAAATATGATAGAAACCAGGGGAATCTCCTACAAATATTCTAGAGACTAGGGAGTTCCCAACAAATATTCTAGAGACAGAGGATTTTCCTACAAATATTCTAGAGACCAGGTGAATCTCCAACAAATATTCTAGAAACCAAGAGAATCTCTTACAAATATTCTAGGCACAGGGGAATCCACAAATAATCTAGAGACCAGGGAATCTCTTACAAGTATTCTAGAGACAGGGAATCTCCTACAAATATTCCAGAGACCAGGAAATCCCCTATACACTTTTAAACTGTTGTGAGTAATAACTATAAAAGTTGTCATTTTAAATGTGTCTTGTAATTAACTACGAAACAAAGTAAACTATCACAGCGTGTGAACATAATAATCCTATAGCGTGGTTAAATGACATTCAAGCCTACACTACATGTACCTTTCTCGTCACGGTTACAATATAATTTATATACCTATATGTACCTGTCTTATCACGATTACAATATAATTTATATACCTACATACATGTATTTAAAGTGGCCTAAACAAATATATTATAAATCATTTTTTAAAGAGGCATTATGTAAAAGCTAAAAATGGACGACACTATAGAAAAGGACTGACAATCAAGACTTTGTTTATTATCATGGCAACAGTACTTGACAAATTGCTATAAAATCATGTCAAAACTTCAAACACTAATTGTATCTTCACTCTGAATATAATAATTTAACTGAAGTTTTCAATGTATTCATTTTTCATTATCTATTTTCTGACTATAATAGCGAGAACTGCCAGCACTTCATCTAAATCGTACATAAAACATCTTTAATTCTACATGCACCCATGTCGTCATGGTTACAATATAATTTATATACCTATACTTTTAACCGCCTAAATAAGTTTAAATCTAGAAGCAGAGAGAGAGAGTTTAATGTCTACTCAACACAAACTAGGTCATTTCAGGACCAACATCTTTAGCAGTGGGAGGAAACCGGAGTACAAGGAGAAAACGCACAAGGTTGGACAGGCGACCCTACTCCTTGTCACGTACAACCGGACAGGTATTATAATGTATCTTTAACTGTACATGTTCCCAGTGCTATAACAACTCTGTTGTAAATGAGATAGAAAAGGGTAGAAGATGTCTTTAAACATGCATTATGCAAGAACTAAATCTGCCTATTACAGGTCTTTCATTAGGCCCGAAATGTTATCTAAATTATTAATTAGACATTAATCAATTATCCAGACCATAATTAACTCTCGATGGCATCGCTAGTCTGCAATGTTTATTGGATTAGGTTCCGATTTCCTGTTCGACTTCCATTCATAATTTAATCATGAAATGGATAATCAAGACTATGTTTTTTTTATCGTACTGACTTTTAGTAATGATGGTCAAGATTAGGCCGAAAATTCAATCGCTAAAACCTTGGTTCAGAGTGGATCAATTTGACTGAAATTTCCAGCAAATTCCTTTTACATAATCTAGTTTTTAACTATTATATTGAGAACTACCAGCTCTTTATCTAATCTCCCATAATGTATCTTTAAGATAATGGATGATATGTGATGGTAAGGTAAACACTACTTGATGTCAAATATTGTTAAAGTAAAGGATGGTCTTATCTTCTGCTAATTAAGTCATTAAGAGTCATTATCTATCACTGTAACCTGAGTATCATTTAATCTTGTGTATAACGCACTAATTTCCTTCACATTCGTTTAATATCAAATCTTTGCTTAAAAATTCATAAAAAGCATTTAAAATCACCCAAAATCATCTAATTTGTACTTGTGTCCAATTTAAAGCTGACTGATTAATTTTGATAATGAGTGTCCAATTTACAAGTATACAGTGATCAAGAAATTAAATACTTGTAAATTGGACATTTATTATCAAAATTGAATGGTCAGCTTTAAACTGGACACAAGTAGAAATTAGATGATTTTGAACGATGTTTACATATTATAAAACAAAGATTTGATATTGAATGAATTTGAAAGAAATTTGTGCTAAATAAACGAGATTAAATGATACTTGATTACAGTGTATATGCTACAATAGAGGATAACACATTATAAACACGGACAAGGACAGCTGTCTAGTCAATTGGATAAGACGAAAAACCGAGGTCCAGAGTATGTAAAAGATCCCTTGGCAGTTGGAATTTGATATATGAGCAGGCCATATTGCCGCTGCTCGGGCTAAATTTCCCACATAGCACACTGTATGGCATATGCCCATTAGCCCAATCGGAGCAGAACAGTTAAACCCCATTTCATTTCATTTCATTTTTTACATTATAAAGTATTATAATCAAGGGAGAAGATGATCCTCCCTCTCTTCTCACAATGTTCAGCCAATTTTAACATCCTGTCTTAAAGTGACATTTTGATATACAGGAACTTGTTTTTTATGTTTTTACCCATTTCTGTTTTTATTACGCCTTAATCAAATCAACCTGTCCATAACATCATGTATAATATATTGGACGTTAAATTTGTAACAAACAAAAACAGCAACATTATATAAAAACTGATACTATATATGTTTCACGATGTGATCCACTATTTGTTAATGTAATTTGTCTATTTCTACTGCAAGTGTCCCCTACAGACATAATTATATTATATAATAAAAGAGTGCTTCAGTAAGTTCATTATTATAACCTAATCTTAGAGAAAATATTGGCTATTTCTGATAATCTAACTTGGCACAGAAAAAGGATCCCATTTAGTTTTTATTACCAGATCCAAGTACAGATATCAAAATCTGGTCAATGTATTACTTCCATTATTCTGATAATGTCTATATCAGTAATTGATGCAGGAATCTGGGAGACCTGTACAATAATAATATGCCGTTCTGATGGCTTTAAGTTTGATTTAAGGGGCTTAAAGTCGACCTTACAACTGAGAGCAACTGGAGTTTCGGTAACTGGCTTTAACTGAGCGCCTTTACAACTAAAAGCAACTAGTTCTAGTCAGTTCCATTTCGTTTGATTAGACCTAATCCCACTCAAGCACTGCCATACTCAGCGCAAATTCCTGTATCATATTATGGCTCAAGTTTTCAACCACAATACAGCAATGGTTAGAGGGGGATTTCTCGGGCCATTGCTTCAGGAATATGTCCATCACAAAACAGGCATGCACCATGTAAAACTGCAAATCTCCTGGTTTGCGATCTATTTGGGGTTTTTTATTATTAAAATAACTGGTTTAATCTTCCCATGTTCATATGACGAACATAAGCTAGCCTTAACAATTACTGACCTTTTAAAATCAATTTAACAAATCATAAGGAACCATCAGTATACTGCTACTGTTGCCATGTTGTTATACAATAAACAATTAGGAGCTAGTGATAGAGACAGAGAGAAATGGGGTTTAATGTCCACTCGACACAAACTAGGTCATTTCAGGACTAACATAAGGTTCAATTTTATTTCAATAATTTGCTTGCATGTAGGGGTCTTTAACAGTAGGAGGAAACCAGAGCACCCTGAGAAAACCCACGAGGTTGGACAGGCGACCCTACTCCTTGTCACGTAAAACCGGGGAATCGAAACCACACCAGTTGACAGACCTTATGATACAGAGCGCATGTGCTGAGCGTTCAGCCATCCAACCCCACAATCAAGAGCTAAATAACTAGAAAATATATGGTTCTGATTATCACCTAACAGTAACACGAATATCTGGCTAAAAGGTACAAATGATACAGTGGGGTCAAGGTTCATATATAATAAGGCCGGCTAATCTATAATCAGCCAGCTAGAAATATGTAGAGTGACTAAATGTTGATCAAAAGATAAGACACATGCCCAATCCAACTAATTATATACAGTGATAAATCAAACTGAGGGTATTTCATTACAGACAACAAGATTCATCTTCCAAATTAAACCCAACCCACTATCAACAACACAACCAGTTGCAAACCACATAATCCTTTTGACCCCAGTAACGCTCCTTATCTTCCAATGTGGAATTTGTTGTCAACAGGCGGTTGATCATATTCTGAGAGGTGCCCTCTTCAATATTTAGGACCATACGCAAGACCTATAGATAAAGGTTTTACCTATAAAGGTAAGGATATAAACCTATAAAATAAGAGAGCACCTGCTTGTCTAAAGGTATAGAAGGTAGATATACATTGTATTCAAACATCTGAATATAGTAGTTATTCAATACCCCAGACTTTCTGATATTAAACTTATATTTACACAGGGCACATAAACTATACAATTTATGATCTAGCTATCACAGTTTACAATAAAACTAGTAGACCTCTTGACTAAATGTGTTTATATTGCTATGACGATGGGGGAGTTGAATGGCCAAATGATTAGCATGTACATGCTGTATCATAAGGTTTGTCATTGAGTCAATTGGTGTGGTTTCTATGGGGCCTTCGATTTCCTCCCACTGCTGAAGACCCCTACGTGCAAGCGAGTTATAATATTGAAATGAAATTGAACCATGTATTAGTCCCGAAATGACCTAGTTTGTGTCGAGTGGGGGTTAAACCCCATCTCTCTCTCTCTGACGATGGATATAATATATCATATTGCAGTTCATGAAAAGC